CCCCCCCTCCTCCCCTCCCCCTTCTTCCTCTTCTCCTCCTTTTGTGTGCCCGGGTCTCTAGAGTTAAGACATGTACCTGCGATGGATTAGCTTTTAGGATTCATATGCTTCTATTTGTATTTTTAGTAAGATGTATCAAATAAAGTTTCAATAAGGCTTTAACATTTTTTTTATCTCCCTCCCTCAGGTATACACCATCTTGCCTGTACCTTGCAATTCATGAACTGGATGAAGGCCATGTGGGCAGGTTCACTTTCCGCAGCAGAGATGGTGTCTTACAGGTGTGTTGTGTGATATTATTGTGTGCAGTAAGGTGACTGTCGATCAAATACTTTTTAACTGGAGCCCAGGCGTTCACTGCAAGAAGCTAAGGGTTGCCACAATATGGTTTATTTGTGTTGCATTTATATGGAGTCAACAATGTAACATTGGGATGCATGGTGTGGAATGCTACATGTTGCTTTGGGTCACAAAAGAAAGGATTTGGTTAAATAAGCTGCAATATAAATAACGATAGTGAAAGCAAGAATAAGAACAATTAATTAGCGAGAAGAGATAGGTTACTACCAATACTACAACAACACTGCAATCAGCAACAATGGCAATGCTAACAATAATGTAGCAGGAACAACTGTTACAGCTACCAGAACAGTTGCTTTGAGACCACAGTCACCATCACCACCACCCATAACAACAATGCTGACAGCAACAACAACAATGGAAACTTCAACATCAACAACAACAGTGACCCTAACAAGTGTATCAAAACCTCTATCAGCAACAGCATTACCAGCAACAATACAACCTCAACAGAAACTACCTCAAAGATAACTGCAACAGGGGTAGAAAATTAAGAGAAATACAGTTAATAGATTAATGATCGTTTGGTTTTCTACCCAGGTGTGTCCATGATTCCGTGCTTGTGGGTAAAAAGCGCAGATTGTAGGTTCTATTTTTTTCGTTCTCTCTGTTGTTTATGTCTGTCTTGCTCTTCCCAAGTCTTAATTGTCGTTATCATTTCAATGAGCTTCTGTTTACTCGTAGTAAATTTTAATTTTTTCTATTATACTCACACTCTGTGTCTTATTTAATACCTAACTGTATGTGTGTCTTATATTTCTTTTTCTCTTTCTCCCCATGCAGGTGATGAGGCCTGGTGGCATGGAAAGTTTCCAAGTGGTGCTCAAGGCCCAGATCCTCCAAAGAAATGCTCTTGCAGCCGGGGTACTGCAGGCTAGCATCTGCAACCCTGTCAAAGTGAAAGAATGGAAGAGGTCAGTGAGTGATTAATGTTAAAAGAAATTTTTACTACACTGACACAACTTATATAATTCAGGAACCAGGCTGTTTCAGGCCCACTTGTCAGGACTGATCCTCACTGGGTGGAATGCAGCATCCTAGCAGAAAGATGGAGGCTCTCTAAAAAAATAAAATTTCCCCACTGGGAATTGAGTTTCAGTGTCAGAAATAAATATTAAAGGCGTGGACTTTTAGTTTGGGAATTGAAATCACTTATTCTGGATGTAATAGCAAGGAGCCTGAACATTAGACCTCAGAAAAGATTTTGCGGTGAAGTGCTTGATGTTAAAGATGACCAACTGAAAAATCTGAACTTGAGTTTTTATGGACAGTTATTTCTGCTGAAGTATAATCTACAAGTTTTATTCCAAATTTGTTTCATTTGATCAAATATGAATAAAGTGCTCTGCAATTTGGTAGATTTTTGTTGGTTTTTTAAAGTCTGATGTTTGACAATGTCCCTCCAGTGGCCGTGCCAGCCCGACTGAAACCAAAAGTGAGAAGAGTTCGGTCACTCAGATGACCGGTATGTCCAGTGGGACTGCAGGCACAGTGCTGGCTGGCAAATTGTCCTCTGATACCTCCAAGAGTCACAAAGCTCCGGAAGCATTCTTTTCTCTACAGCTAGAAAAGGTACAATGAGAACAACATCGTGTTTTTAGTAAATTTGATTGGAGTGTTGACTGGAGTCAGTGTTTCTGAGAGCATAATTTATTATTGATTAAATGATCAGATGATGGAGGGGAGGGGGGGAAATTTGAGTAAATGTGTGCAGCTAATTGTGTTTTTGTATATGTGTTTTACATCTATGTGTGTGTATTTATGTTTTTGTGCGTGTACATCAGTGTGCATTTTTTAAATTTGTATTTGTGTATGTGCATCGGTGTGCATTTGTGTGTGTGTGGGTATGTATGTGAGTGTTGATGCTTATATGAAGACCTTAACACAGTACAGTGAAGCTCAGAGGACACTTCTTTGTAGTCAGAAAAACCCATCCATCTCTACCTTCTTCTGTTAATATTAGATTATTTAACTTTGTGAAACACACAAGTAAAATGATCAGAAGTAAGTTCTGAAAAGTAGCACAGCAGGTTATTCTCCTACAACCATGTCATATACCATTCAAGACACAAAACGGGGGTGATTGGTGGGTGCTCAGGTGTGGTTTGCTCCTTCTTTCCTATCAGACATCTATCGTCCTTATCTCTCCACCTTTTTTCTGTTTGTTACAACCTCTTAACAAAACAAAGCTCAGAAAAAAAGCTGATTTCATGTCTTTCTTTTTCTCAGACTCCAAGTCGAGACCTGATGCTGAACGAATTTGTCACCCGTAAGCAGCAGATGGGCAGTGTTCTTCGGAACCCAGATGAACTGGAGAGAGTGAAGAGAAAGCTGTTGTCGGATTTCTGCCATCGTTTTCACCTGCGTGTGGCTCAGGCCTCCATGAGAGCGCAGCTGCTGGCTTACTACACAAGTATCCTGACCATCCTGGAAGCTTTTCCCAGTCTCAGGTGGGTGGCAGTGCTTGGTACTGTATATATTCAATGCAGATGTTGAGTGTATAAAGATATATCTGTAACATCTATATTCAGAAGTATGGTCATGAGTATTGTCAAAGCAGCATTTTCTTTCCTGTTGAAGTCATCAAAATCATCTTAAGTCATTATAAAGCACTACTATGGACTTTTCTGAAATGTCTCTTTTAACATTGAAGTCCCTCCAAAACCTAGAATGTTTTTGTCCCATGAGCATTTCTGCAGATATGACAACCTTTTACTATGTGGTTGAAGCAAAGCAGGTTGGGGTCAGGTACCAGAGAAAAAGATAAAAGGTGTGGACTTTTACTCGGAGATGAAGGGTTTTTGGTCCATAGATTGGAGGTGTAAGTACAAAAAGATTCCTATGAAAGTGTGAGGAGGAAGAGGTGGCAGAGGAGGAGGAGGAGGAGGTGATGGTGGATGAGGATCATCCTCAAAGCTTTTCACAGTCTATACTCTGGGTGTGCTTGTTGCTGTTTGTATCTTGCTTCAGACTGGACTATGCCAATCTAATTTCAGGGAAAGCTACTTCGTGATGGGTGAGCCGAATGAGAAGAAATCTAAAGAGGATTGTCTGGATGGTCTTTCTCCGGATCCAAGGTAATATGAGAGCTGTGTCTTCTCTTTGCTATGATTCTGTTTGTGTGCTCTGTAAAGTTTTTAGACTCAAATACAACTATAGTTCATTCCACTGTGGAATGACTTGGAAAGAAAAGAGCTACGAAATTATCATGTCAATGTGTAGTGCTACTGGCACCTGTGATGTAGTGGTTAGGTGTTTTGCTGTAGCATGCAGGGTCGAGTATCTAGGTCTTTCTGGTGGGATGTTGTGTTGGCCATGACAGGCAGGGTTGAAACTCACCTCCAATATGATCTAAATTGTGCCAGTAGGGGTGTAACAACCCTTGAATAAAAAAAATTAATTGTTTGTCAATGTATGTTTCTTTACTTTAAAAAAACTATATTTACACTAAGTGTTTGAAACTTGGGTTATATATTTAGCACCCCTTGAGTGCCTCATGATGACCTAAGTTGTTTATCCCCAGGCTGCTGAAGAAGCGACCCAGACGTCTACTGTCGGAGGATGGTCAACACGTCCTCAACCTCTGGTTTATTCCACACCACACCGAGGTTCTGGTCATGTTCAAGACACTGGATGACGACTCGTGCGCCCGTGCCATGTCCTTCGCTCTAAGCATTGTGGCTGCCCTTCACGACATGCTGCAGTATCTCAGCGCTCACGCCAAGCTGGGCAGCTCTCACGCTCGGATGGGCTCGCAGAAAGTGGAGTTTGTCTCGGCTGACTGGGGAGGCACAGAGGGAATTGGTGAGAATGTGAACAAAAATATAATATATGAGATGTTATAGTTTGAGTTTGAGTTAAAGAGAAGCACATCATCTCAATAATGGTCATTTAGTACTGTAAAAAAGCAGGACAGACAGCCAATGACAAAAGTGGAATAGTAAAGAAATAAGATTTACTAGTGGCATCATCCAACCACCTGCAGACATTCTTTTGCTTTTCAGAAAAAAAGAAATGCAATACATCTAGTTGATATTTCCTACTTTCTGAGGAAACCCCCCCCCCCCCCCCCAAAAAGTCTTTATCCTTGTCTGTGAAAATTAATTATCAGTATTAACTTTGAAGTTTTGGACATACAAGTACCTAATATTTACCTCACAAGTATAGCAGTGAGCTTCACTAGCTCTCACAGACAACTGTAATGAAAGTATTGCTGTGGGGGTTTCTTTTTGTTGTTACTGCTGAAATTGGAAGTACCTTATAATGTATTGCAACATATAATAGATTGTCTTTGTTTGTATATTTTATGTATTATAAAAGAACTGAGATCTTGAAGACTGACAATCTTTTTTTTTTCTGCACAGGTTCGGAGTTGCGAGACATTCAGAAACAGATCCAGAATCTTCCAGAACCCACAGATCCTCAGCTAGTGCTGGACTTGCTAAACTTGCGGCGAGATGTCATGTTTCTGGAGTTCGACACAGCTGTCAGGACCTGCATGGCTGACACTTTTCTCTCTACGGGGAACATGCAGGCGTATGAGGTGACTTTTCTTACTTTTCATTATGTTTCACTTCATACATTTTGAGGTAGGGGGCTACTTTACTTTTCTTTTCTCTTTTCTTTTCTAAAATTCTGTTTAAAATACTGAATGTTTCAGGATTCTGGTTTCTTCTATATTGGTTATAAATCCATTATTATAGGTGTTATCAGTGTTCCCTATATTTATTATTCAATATATTTTGAAGTTTTCCAGATCGAAGGTGCCTCTATATCTTTTTCTTTTGATTTGCTATGTTGTAAAGGAAAATTTGGTCTCTCATTTTTCAATTGTCAGTCATTATTACCTTCCCAGTGTTGTTTTGCTCTGTGTGTGAACAGTTGTCTGAAGTTCTGAAATGTATTTCTGTTTTCAGAGCATTGTGAACAATGCCCACTATGCCCTGTCTATGCTGAGCAGGGTCCAGCGTCCAAGCCTGAGCGCCACATACTTGACCATCCCTGAGCCACTCGAGGCTCGGGACTTGAAGGCCAAGCAGTTGTTTCCCTGGAGATGTTTCTTGGGCCAGTAAGTATATCTCGATCAGAACCTTTAATGGATGCTGCTGCACCTGAATCTACCACTTCATGGCTCCGGAATGAAATACAATGGCCGTTAAGCTTTGTTTGGTTTTCTTTGAGTAAAGAGATGCAAATCAGCTTAGTGACAAATATTAAGTGCAGAAAAAGAGCAGGATAGACAGACAGACAGGATTAACCGAAGAAAAAAAGAAGTTGGGTGTATCAGTGGTGTCCTCTAACCACATGCACCCTTCACAATATTCAGTCATACTTTTTCGCACAGACACCTGTATAAGATGATTACCGGTACAAATGGCAACTTCCCATTTCCCCCTTGTGTTTTTTAAAGATATTTTATTAACACTGTAAGATGTCCACTTGTCTAAGACAACCACTTTTCTCCATCTACAATAGGTGACCATCTCAGACAATTTCGACTGAACATTGATTGTTATTAATATCACTGTGCAGTGTATCAAGTTCGTCTACTTTAATGAAAAATACTGTTTTATCTTTTTCTTTTGCTTCTTTGCTTCTTTTTATTTTGTAGGTTTACATGGAATGTATGAGGTACTTTATTGTTTTGTAAACTTTGTCGGTCACTTTTCCAAATTGATATAAAATTGTGGATTTTTCACTACATGAAAGTGAGCACCTGTTTTTTATTCCTCAGAAATGGCCCATACCCAATTGCATTTTGGCAATGGTTCAAGATTGAAAGCTACGTCAGCCTATGCCTGGCAGGACTCAAGGATGTAGACAGGTAAAACACCAGTTCATTAGTAAATATAAGCCAGGCTTATGGGTCGCAAACCAAAGTGCCTGGCGGGGCCTGTACAAATCACACTTTGGTGAGTGTAAGCATGGAAAGTTTGTTAATGTTTATAGACTAAGGATGCAGTACTTTTTCCCACTTAATCTTTACGTACTTTCAGATAACTCTGGAAAAAATCATGGCTTCTTTGCAAAGGTAACTATTTTCCCTTTGATAATCAGCTGTGCAGTGGTACCTCTAAATGTCATATTTTTTGCTATTGTTCCCATGCATCAAAGATTTCGTCGTTCTCATTTCTAATCTATGGCACTTTTAACTGTCATATTTATGTCTTGTTTTTCTCCTGTTTCAGACATGCAGCTAATCTTATCACTCATCTATGGAACCTCAGACTGTCATCTTTTCTTTTATTTCCCTTCTTCAGACATGTAGCCAATGGTGAAATCCTAGGTGTCACACTGCTGATGGAGGACGTCCTTCAGACTGGCTTCCTGGGCTCCATGCTGACTGTTGGCCTCGACTCACAAGCTCCGAGCCAGACAGAGTCTGTTGCGGGTGACCATGCAGACACGGAGCGGTCAAACCGAAGTCAGAGCAGTGTTTTATCCGACCTCAAGGAGGCCAGCAAAGCTTTAGGTATGGGGTACTAGTAAAGGTGTTTTTTGTAATCTTATTTTTTCAAGCTTAATTCCCTACTATTCCTAAATGGCTTTACTATGACACCAGTGCTGTTTGGGTTTGCTGTTTTATTTTGCAATTTTGAAGGGGTGTTATTGCATACCAAGGACAAGCCACTTGTATAATCAATACACTGAACTTGCTTTTGTTATTTTTATACAAGTCTATTTTCAAGAGCTCTCAACCACTATCCCCCCCCCCCCCCCCCCCCCCCCCCCCCCCCACCCTCTTTTCCTAGCTGTATTGTAAATACAGTAATTAAAGCTTTAAGAACTCTCGAGTTTGGTTAATTTTTATTGTTTACATTATTCTTTCTAGCTGTGGCGCAACAACAGCGCAGCCTGTCTCGTACCCAGCAGCCCTTGGAGGCCTACAGACTGCTGCGCTTTTTCCTGCTGCTCTGGAAGTGTCTGGAGATGATGAAGCTGGACTGGGGCAAGAGGAAGCTGATGGTGGAGAAGATAAATTCTACCGTGCTCTACAAAGAGTTCTGGTGCGTTTTTGATTGAGTTCTAGAGTGTTATGCCCATTTCCGTACAAATGTTGCTTCTTTTACAAGTTGTATATTATTTTTGTTTCTCCTTTGATTTTGCTAATTATATCTCTTTTCAACACAATTTAGATTATTTTCTACTTTGCTGAAATCTTGTTAATATAAAAAATCCAATCATGCTGAATGCTGAATCTCGCCAGAAGAAAATTTGTTTTTATTTACTACTTCAAAAGTTGTTTCATTTGTTTCAGCCTCTGTGGAGTACCTTGTTTTTGAGATACGGTAAATATATATTGCTGAAAGACACCACCCCGCTCCTGTCCCTGTCCATGATTACCCACCTGAATATTGTGTGTCACCAACATTTCTTGACATTTTGTATTGGCCTGGGGTTACATGGACATGGGAGCCCCCAACAACACTAACAATAGCAACAAAAACAGAAACAGGAAAAATAACGTTTCATTATTATCTTATCTTTCTCTCAGTAAGACCTACAGGATGGAAATCTTGTTGCCAGTGCTCCAGAGTGTTGCCCGTCGCTTGGGACAGGGAGATCTCTATGACAGTCTCATTTTAGATACAGATGTATACGTCATGCCCAAGGGGGCTTCGGAGATTGAAGTTCGCCTCAAGCAGGTACTTTGACAATTTGTAGGTGGTTGATGGGTGTAGTGTGATTTTTCTACTTCTTTTTAGTAAACCTATCATCCTTATCCTTATTTGTTTCTGGCAAAATTAGAAAGATATCGTTTTAATTGTTGTATTGATGGATTTAGATTTATTTTTCTGTTTATCAAAGGATGTAAAAGTTTTTGGCTAATGTAAAATTTCTTATCCCTGATTGATAACATAAGTTCTGAAACAAATACTAAAAATGGATCTCAACAGACAAACTTAGTCTAAAGTTATTATTTGTTATGTGTAAGGTGCCTGTTCGGACAAAAGCACAATATCTGTAAACTTGTGAATTGAACATTTTCTTACTCACAGGATTCAACTTGTTTATAACATTTTTACCCGAAATGGCCACATAATATTATTGTTTGAACATACTCAAAAACGAGGAGCTTGACATTTAATCGTTGTGCTGTATTTTTCTTGTTTTTCATTTATGACACAGTGGCTATTTATGTTCATTTTTTTTCTTATTTTTATCCTTTATTTGTTTTGTTTTCTCTTTTTCATACATGTAAGAGGGTCCCACTGGCTGACCCTATTTCTTATCTCTCTGTCTGCCCTGTCTGTTGTTCTGCTCTCTAAGAAGACAGAATGACAACATGTCTGTTGATATATTTCTCTTTTACACCGACAAACTTTTCATTCAACAGCTTTTACGTCTGCTCGAGAGCCTGGAGACTCATATGATCTCTGAGGTCCGCAAGCGAGTGTCAAAGGAGCTGACTCTGGCGGTGGCTGAACGGGCGAGGGAAGAGGAAGCCTTACCCACAGACTTGTGGAAAAGAGCAGTGAGTTGGACTGCTTGGTCATTTGATTACTTAGTTTTTCTTTAGTTTCCTCAGTAATGAGATAATGATAAAATTTTGTCTTTGGTTGGGGGCCTGGGGGTGGAGGGGTGGCTACTGTATTTTTTGCAACAGCAACGTTTCACTGTTTTAAACAGTATCGTTATTGAAATAGGGATTGGTGTATATTCAGTAATAACTGAAGATAACAAAAAGCTTGCCATCATGCAATTTGCCTGTGAAAACCATGACTGATAACGTTCTGATCACATGAAGATTACTACTTGTTTGTCATGCACTGGAAAGCCAGCATCTTTTTGGTGTGATTCTCTTCTTGCACATGGGTAGCAACAATGAGAGAATTTCTGTCATTCTGTGCAGGTAATGAAGGAGAGCTTCACAATGAACCGGCCTCACGTGGCAGAGAAGTTTGTAAATCAGCTCATGTCTCAGGCCAAGGAAGAGGAAGATTCTGTGACCTTCACCTCTGAGCACTTGCAGACGTGTCTGTCAGAATTGGCTCGCAATGTCATGGCCCGTGAGAAACATAGCTTTGAGAGGTAAGTGGGAGATTACTCGTGACTGTAGTGTCTTTTTTTATTTGAAATAATCATTATCAAAGGAAATATCTGATTTTTCTAATTGGTAAGAGGAAATGAAAAAGCTTAAAATCAACTCAAAATTGACTCTTTTGTGTCTAGCAAATCAATTAACTGAAACCAATTGTTTAAAAAACTGTATATGACTTTGATTTTGGTGTTTTAAGTTATGTGTGTTTATTCAGAGTGGAGTCAGTTTCAGTGTTTACACTTTGTGCCGACAGCACCAGTCTTGTTTTTGGATTATTTCATGTGTTGGAAAACAATGTGAATTTTTCTCTTAGTTTTCTCTCAATATTTACTCTCAGTTTTATATATCCATGATGGTCCCTTTATGTAGTGTCCTAAGTTGGGAGAATATGTTCACTCAGTTTAGTGTCATCACATTATTTATAAGTTTTAATTTATTTTGGTCTAATTTTGTTCTTACCCATGCCAGATTTATGAAGCTTTCACTCTTTCTTTCCATACTGTATGGTATTTGAAATAGAAAAAAAATCTTGTCATGTGATACTTGTTTGATCACTTCGTTTTTGTTTGTGAATCCATTGTTTTTGGTATCAGTCATAGTACAGTAGTCTCCGCCTAGGATCCCACCGCTTACGATCCCGGTTTGCTTAAGATCTCGCTGTTTTAAGAAAACAGAATTTTTACTATACAAAAGTCACCCCTAAGATCCCGCTCTGATTCACTCTGAAGGTCTACATTCAGCTAAGATCCCGCATTTCAGATCATAATTTGCGGAAAAAAATCCCAGGCGGGATAAATAAACTGTCCGTCGCGTCAAAGATCAGCCACTATCGTGAATGTGATGACATACACGTTGTAAAACTGGATGAAGCGATACAATGTTTGCCCCCCCAACGGGATCACACCGGGGTGTGAACTGACCAACGCGTTTGTTTTTCCCCACGCATCGCACTCACACCAGAGCTCTCCCCCTAAACTTACATCACTCGCTGGGTGGATAGGGCCTACACGTTCGTTCCAGGCAGGATCACATCAAACCGTGAACTCTTCCCTGACCATTGCAGTAGGCGTTGATTGCAGCAGTTGTCTCTATGCCCGAATTTGCTAGACAGACTGAATTTTAATTGGTGTGTTCACGACGTAATGGTTTGTAACGACAAAGGCGTTTGGGGAGGAGGGGGGGAGGGGGCCTCGGTCGGAGATGGGAAGCTATAAATTTTTGACAGGTAAAGGGGAGGGGCAACTGAATAAGCGTAGATTTTGAGACTCATGAGAGGATAATAAGTGAAAATGGCATGCCTCATGACACTATGCACTGTGATAAGCCATCAAGGCTAATCACTCTTTGCTCGCTGTATGTCATAAACCCACCAAGCGGTCACATCAGTTCATTTTAGGGTGGAAGGAGACCATTTTACCGATTGTAAGCCTTAACATGGGTCCCCGTAGATTCTTCCCTGGGATCGTCGGTTAAGATCCCGGTTCGCCTAAGGTCCCACATTTCTTTGCTTCCGATCACCGGGATCTTAGGCAGAGACTACTGTATTTCAATTGAACTAATAGTCATGACTACGACTTGTAATTTTTACCATAAATAGCAGGGGACTATGCTTGTCTCATGTAAAATTTTGTCTGTATGTCACTGCAGTTTGAAATGCTTTCTTTCATCCGTAACAAGGCATTTGAAAATACTGCAGGACTGCCACAACGGCTAGTTTTTAGTGATTGCTCGAGTGCAGAGAAATGTGAATTAGAATTTTTTTTAGCTGTTCAAGACCACTGTATGAAGGCTAGAGTGAGATGAGGGAAGCGAAGATATGAAGTAAGAGAAGAGTGAAGTCAGTATATTATAGAAAGTATAATCCTTATAGTTATTTATAAATCCTGTTTCAAATTATTCTGTTTCGTAAGCACAGATAGTGAAGACGGAAAGTAAAGAAGCTCAAAGTTCTTTGCATGCTTTTAAAGGAAAAGATATCCAAATCCCTGGTTATCCATTGTGTATGTATGTGGTCTGCCTGAGTCCCTTCTTTGTGGATCCTTGTTTTTTTTGCCCGATTTTGCTGACAATATTACTTTGAAATTATGTTATTGGGCGGCATGCGTGTATTCACATGTCTGTGTATGTTCACCATTTAGTTCACTGTAGATTCACAATGTGTTCACAGCTACTCCATGTATTACGAGAATTTACTGCGAGTTCATCACCAGCTGCTCTACCAGAAGGAGCAGGTAACAGGACTTACTTTTGCTTTGGTTTTAGTTTCACAAGCCCTTCCTGTCTTGTCAATTTATAACTAGCTATTTCAATCTATTTTATATATTCCCCTAAAGCCATCACTCCGGTAGTGGAAAACAAAAAGATTTCACTTATTATTATAATGTATAGGCCTACTTGAAAATGGATCCAAATGATATAAGTGTGAAACTGCTTCTTGGACATGTACTTCAATTTTGTGATGAACTAGTGATACTTCTCTAGAATTGTCTGGAATTTTGGAAGAATCTGACTTTCCGGACATTTTTTTACTTTCTTTTTAGTATAACAGCTCTTTTGCACCGATTGAATTGAAAAATTCTGAATGAAAAGTCTTTAGTTTACTTCCCAGCATGTTCTAGAAATTTGCTTGACCTTGGTGGCATCTTGATTATATTTATCTGCAAATTTAATACCAAAATATGTTACTAAGATATGACCGATAAATTCCTCTATGCGTGTAGATACTCAGGTCAGTGCTTGCTCAGCTATTTCTCCTGAATTTTTTTTTGGTGTTTATGTAATATTGCCACAAGATCTAGAGTTCTCGTACAACATGAAAAATCATTCCAATATTAGTAGAGATGAGTTCATGAATTAGAGATTCATAGGCAGTGGAGAAATTTAACTACTAGTGCACAGTGTTAATTGAAAATGTGGGTCTAAAAAATAACTTCATTGGAAAAGAACACATGGATGTAGAGTTATATTCTTCATTCTAAAATTTTGTTAATAAGGTGTTTTTCAAAAACTAATTTTGCAGATGAATCAGTCTCTATGTTAATGAAGTGTTTATTCACAAATAATTCAAAGTAACAATGGGTAAATCTTCATGATCTGAACTGTGTTGATGAGGTGTAAAATGATTACAATCAAGGAGTTAACCTATGCTCATGTCATTACACCCCCACCCCCCTACCCCCCATTCTTCCTCCTCCGACTACATGTATTTGTTGACATTTTCCTATACAGGACATCAGGCACTTGAAGGACCAGCTGCGACAGGCTCAGGCCGATACACGAGTGAGCGTGCAGTGTGAGCTGGCCAATGAGGCCCATGACTTGCTCATGGGTGAGTACATGGGAAGCTAGATCATCTGGCATGTAGTTGGCCTTAAAGTTGTCATCTTGTTCTGTGTTAAGCAGGTTTTATGTTATGGTCTAGAGTATGGATTATTTTATTGTCTTGAAAGGCCACTAAAAGTACTCTTTTACACCCTTTTCTCCGCTTATACAACCAGGGCTGATAAGTTTGTGTGGTTTTGTTGCGGTTTCATGATATTGCTGCTATGGGCTTTAGATTTCTTTTATTATAATACTTCTTAGTATGTCAAAAGAACATCTGTTATCTCCTTCTCCGAGGGTCGTCAAGGTTAGTCCTATGAACCAACGCTGCTCATAGAGTCTGGTCATTATAAAGAAATTTATATGTCAGAAAATCTCAGTTTTGCTTTACCTTCTTCAGAGATCACTGCACTGCGGGCAAAGATTGTGGAGATGAGAGAGATGAGCATGAGCCAGGAACGGGACATCAGAGAGCGTGTTCGTGAGGAATACAATGATCTCATACAGAACATCTTCAACTCCACGTTCCAGCTAAGAGGCAAATTTGATGAGTTTAGGTATGTTACTACCTGTGAATGTGTGTTTCTAGATCTGTGTGTTTGTGTGTATGTGTGTGTGTATTTGTGTTTGTGTGTGTGTATGCGTGTGTGTGTGTGTGTGTGTGTGTGTGTGTGTGTGTGTGTATGTGTGTGTGTGTGTGTGTGTGTGTGTGTGAATTTGTTATTACAGTTTGATTTTAAGTTTGAAAGCTTTGTAAAAGTGGTAAGATGACACGAGTGAAGATCTTTATGATGTCCTCAGATATTTTCCTTAGAAAGTTTTTCCAAGTTGAGAACAGTTCATTTTTGTGCTACGCACCCTGTGACTAATATGATTTTATAATGTCTTTTAGATTTATAATGTGTTTCCATAATGTGTTTTTGTATAATGAAATCTTTATAATTTGTCTCCAGAAATGACCTTCACGATGACGTCTTTGAGAAAATCAATGAGACAAGGAGGGAGGCTGCTTCAGCAATGAGCAAACTGCAACAGAAATTTAGAGGAGTTTCAAGTTAGTTTCTCTTCATTCATTTCCTTATCTCTCTTGTCACATCAGGCACACTGTTAACTCAGTTGGTATCATGCTTTGCTATGGTGCAGATGGCTGGGGTTTGAATCATCAGTAGAGTGGTTTAGAACCTGACTCTCCATGCACTTGTCTGTGTTTGATCTGAGTTTTTGCCCTTTTATTCATGAAGGCAGACATGATCAGGGGGTATAAAAGATGCAGAACGCCCAAAATTGTTTGCAGCCTTGGTTGCAGGAATCTGGACTGAACAGGCCATTTACTTTTGGTATGATAAACCATCACTGCACCTTTTTCTGACATTGATATAGGATTTAGACACAAGAGTTCTTTCTTAATTATTGTCAAGAATTTGAAAGCAAAGATAGAATTTGAAGTAGGCTTAGTCACATTAAGTTGTTGTTAGTTTTAATTGTATGAGTCGGGATTAGTTCAAACAAAATTAGTACCAGAATATCCATATCTTTAGAGATTTAGAGATTTGTCATACATAACACTAAGGTGTGAAATTTGTTCCAACTGTCTTCTTTTGTCTTTTCAATGTGAGAAAAGGTACAGATAATAATTGCTGTGTTAGAAGCTAAATTGTGCACGCTCATTTATTTTTACTTAGATGATGAAGAGCTTCAGGCAAACCTCAGCCGAGCAGAGCAGATTCGAAGCTTGCAAAATGAAAACCATCATCTGAATCAGCTGATCCTCAAGATGAAAGCCATGAACAGCTGGAGACAGAATGTGAAGACCCACAACTTTCTCAAGACAGTGAGTATTGGCACATTAAGTGTTTGGTGTGAAATCAGTTTTTTTGGTGGCTTTTGGTGATGATTATAAGAATCTTATGGCTGGTCTGATCATGTTTATCATGGCCAGCATGGGCTGAATGAGATAGATAGCATTCCAGCTGATGACGGAGGTGCTTGATAAAATAGCTTCCCCTCTTGGGTACCAAACTTTCATCTTCTGCATGCAACAGCAAAGAGCCTGACCATTACAGCACACACATTCGAGTGTTGTGGTATTTGATTGGGGTCTTTGATAGTGTGTGTTAGGATACCAACTTTGAATGGGATATTTGAAAAGGCATGATAAAAATTTTTAAAAGATACTGCTTATCACTGTTGTCTCAAGAAAAATTGATTACTCACTTTGACCTTGTTTACAGAGTGAGTAAAAAAACTTTGAAGTTACTCATCTGTCTTATGACAGCAGTTATTATATTCCTGTTTATTTAGACATATTATATTTAAAGACAGACAGACAGGCAGCAGGCAGGCAGACTGCATTTTCATGTTTTTCATAGTAGTCAGTCATTGTTCAAGTCTCTCACCCTTTCTTATGACTCACTCAAACTTTCCTGCCAGACTTCTGACCTACGCAAAAAAGCTGAAGGCAGCAAAAAAGATCACCTGGGAATGAAAATGTTGGCTGAGGAGGAAGTGGTTCTGCTGAGGCAGCAGCTCGTGGCCATACGCAAAGCCCTGACATCGACGGAGAAAGACTGCAACGAAGTCAGGAAGGTGCTGCAGAGAGAGGTGAGGAGAACTTTGACTCGGGTTATGTACATGTGCACTTCTGTGCTTTCTCATTTTTATGGATTGCAAAATTATTTTAGTCTCTTTGTCACAGGACACTTTTTTAAAATTCAGAGTAAATTATTCTGGCTGAATACAATGATGGGATTGTTTTGGGACGGCAGGCGTTTTCTTTCCTTTTTAATTAAAAGCTTAACTTTGAATTCACTTTTTTCTTGTTTAGGTTCCTTCAATCAGCTGGATAAAAGTGGGACAATATGAGATTGCAGATTAAATGGTTCCTACTTCATCTCACAGTAATAGTTGAAGTGGCCTTGAAATGAATGAGCTTTGGGTAAAAATCATGTAGATCCTATTAAGTTTTTTTTTTAAAGAGAAAAATTATGCCAAAGTTTAGCGTCCTTAGGATTGCTGTGCAAGGCTGCAAATTTTCAAGGAAAGTTGCCCAATTTGTTACATTCTGTTTCACAGCAAAAAGTGCGTTCTGAAAGAGAACATGAGGAAGCTCAAAAGGAGAGAAGCAAGACACAGCTGGAGCAAGCCAAACAGGCAATTGTTGACCGACTGGTAAGAAGTCTCTCTTCTTCTTATGTGCCTTAGTAAGAACACTTTATTTGTTCATAATGGCTAATCACAAATTGTTTGTTGTTTAATGTACAAGCAATGTTTTTTAAATTGTGTGAAAGAGTTATCGTGGTAGGTAACTATTCTAGAATGAGGAATTGATCAGAACAAAATCCTCTATTGTTTTGAGGTGAATAGCTCTATAGTTTGACTGAGAGATTTGTTTTATGTTGTTGTCCAAATGTCCATATTCGGAATGACAAATTTGAAAAAAGGAAAAGGAGGAAAAAGGGGGGGGGGGGGGGGGGGGATTTGTGTTTTTATCAGTGTCCTGTTAACATTTATTTCTGTCACACCAGTGTCTATAGGTTAGACCCAACGGATTACTTTCACTTGAAGTCTTCCTGAATGCCCTTTAAAAGTAGTTTTGTCCCAGTGTACGAGTTCACCCTTAGAAAACGTTTTCTCCTGTTGTTCAGAGAGTCCTAATTTCGTCCTGCAAGGTTTTCCTGGAACTTTTCCCCTGAGAAAAATTATCTTCCATAATAATAATAATAATAATAATAATAATAATAATAATAATAATAAGAAGAAGAAGAAGAAGAAGAAGAAGAAGGAGGAGGAGAAGGAGGAGGAGGATGAGGAGATGACAACCTCGATGTCTTCTTTCTTTACAGGCTGATGAGCTCCTAGACAAAGACTCACGCCTGAAGAAGCTGGAGGACGAGCAGGATCGAGTGACCAAGATGGCCCAGATCTCGTATGAGAAGACGCGCCGAGACGCCGAGACAGTTCGCAAACAGCTCAATCATGAGCGCAGCCTCAAACTGGATGCTTTCCAGAGGGTGGACACTCTGCAGTCACAGGTGGGAAATTCAGAACATTTAAGTACATCTTGAATCTGTATTTGAACTAAAAGGAACAAGAGCTGTTGGCTGTGAAGAGTCTCCTTCAGTGCTTTTGTATTCTTTTGTACTGTGTCATTTTTGTTACTTCAACAAAATCATGCTGGTATGGAGGTCTGTGGTGTAGTTAACCTAGCTGTAATCACCAGTGAAGCTTTTTAGGGGTTTTCAAGAATGTTGACCCACTTACTGTCCAATTGGAGATGTTTGTTAATATTTGAGATCTGGCTGCCTAAATAACTTTACAATGTATAAAGCAGCTTACTGCTGTGCAGGTGCGCTGTTGGCAGCGGCGTGGGCACATTCTTTTACAACGACTTCAATGTCATTTAGTTTTCGGCAGTTACCAAAATTAGGTCTCTTTTACCAGCAGTTCTTTCATTAGATAAAGAACTATCAAAATAGGTTTACTTGTTTTGATTTAATGACTAATCAAATGATGCATAGGCCCTCTATTTAAGATTTTGTACCAAAAGAGGGACCCCGCAAAGTGGGTTTACCACTCTCAGAGATAAAGAGTGAAGTGTTGTTCGTTTGATCTGTCTTTTAAAAACATGAAAAAGATTCAGGTCATATGAAATGTTACTAAAGTTTCAATCAATATAATATTGTTTTCTGTTATGTTTCCAGGTGTATGACTATGAGTCCTGCTTGTTGAACAGACCACCATCAGTTGCCCCTGCTGCTATAGGTAAGACCTCACTTACTCTCTGCTAAATTACGCTTATTTTACTTGCTTCTACAGCTGAAAACATAATTTTTTGGTTAAAATTGAACTTTCATGCTATAGGTTTATGGATATAACATACAATGTATTATATACAGCAAGGATTATACCCTATCTATCCTTGTATAATAATGACTTCAGTGCAGAACCGTTCCACCTCATAGAAGATTGTTCATAATGATAAATGTGTCACAAAGTGATAGAATCAGGCTCTCGTCAATTTTTGAGCATGTAGAGTTATTGGAATCATCTTTAAGCTTGTTCATTTGTCTTGCTTTGGTTGAAAAAAAATATCCATTTATCTTGAACATAAGTCGAGATATTTGCAAGTAAAGGAGGTGGAGGTCACCTGGTTTCAGAGGTGAAATAAGTGAGAAAATGGCCGCCAAAGATGAGTTATTTCCATAGCTTGAGAGTTCGTGGAAACTGAAAATTTATATTTTTTGTGCCTTTAATCAACTTTTTTCAGTCGAAAATTCGATAAAATTTCACAAACCTGCGGAAAATGCCATTTTCTTCTCTTCGATTATTTTGACGAGTGCCTGATTTGACCAAGCTGCCTCAAAAATGTCAAATGAAACTGATAAGATCAAGTGTTTTGTAACTGTTTTACAAACCCATCAGCACAACTACGTACGTTAAGAGGCTGGCTTCTTTGGCGCTGCTTGTTAGGGCCAACTTGAATCTAGGCTAGAACAGTACCCCACCAGACAGATGCAGAAAGTTGATAAAATATCCCCTCCAATCGGGAATCAAACACATCTTTTGCATGCAATGGTGAAGAGCCTAACCCTTAAACCACAGTGTGGTTCTTGTTGAAGGAGAAAAAGACACTTAAATGATGGTACACAATGTACTTGCCAGTAAACTCTAATAAAAACCATTTCAGGGATATATATGTGTATATATATATATATATATATATATATATACAGTCAAGCCTGTGTAAGACGGCCACCCATTGTCAAGGAGAAAAGTGGCCGTATAAGACAGGTGGCCGTCTTAGGCAGGACTGATCAAGATGAAGAAAACAAACCATTCCCATCTGAGGTCCCAATCGAAAGTAGCCGCATTGTTGTTGTTTTTGTTGGTGGTGGTGGTGGTGGTGTTGGTTTGTATTTTGTTTGTAATTTTTATTTGTTCCTGATTTGCACAAGGGTGACAATAAAATGAAATGTATAAGATGAGGAAGACTGAGTGCCATGTTAAAACAAACACATGGGTCGCCACCACTTGGAGAACGAGCGTCGCTTCTGTCACAAGTTTATGTTGACGTCCTTTGTTACTTTGTTATAGACTGGGTAAACAGTGACCAATCATCTCACTTACGATTAGTGTATGAGTTCTGGGCGGGGCTTATGGGTTATGAGGGATCACACGCTTACCTCACCAACAGCTGAAAATTAGTAGCTATTGGTCAACAGAGGGAGGGGCCTACGCAACATGATCAGTTGGAGGGACTACCTAACAACAACGACAGGGGATTGAATTATGACGGCTCGCCCACAACGCCAGGGGTCAATGCACAATTTATGACAGAACGTAATGGAGTCACAAAGGTGGCCGTCTAAGACAGGTATTATTGCTTAGTGTGATAGGTGCCCGTTTTACACAGTTAAATTATATAGAAAAAACGCAAGGGGGGAAATAGAAAGTGTCTGTTTGTACAGGTGGCCGTCTTATAGAGGTGGCCGTCAGGGCAGGTTTGACTGTATATATATATTATATTTGCAATTTTATGAAAATGATGTGTTTTTTATTGTGCTTTTATTGTGTTCTGTTAGCAGGTAAACCAAGGTCCCGCGCCACTTCTGCTCAGATGAGCCGTCGCAGTCGACCATCCACAGGGGGAGGTAACTGGCCGCCACCCATCTCTTGGCCTGCCAACCGCAGCCTCACGCCAATGGGTGATGTCCCCCTTGATGTGAATGCTCCTATGAACAACGAGCTTAAGAAGATACAGAGACCCAAAACGGTAGGTTGAGTGTTTTAATAAGAAACTATTGTTTATTTTGGATGTTATTGACTGTCCAAATATGATTTTTGTATTAAGTGATCATAAATGTTTTTATGTTCCCTTTGATGCAGTTCAGACAATTTAGAATGCAAGTAGCTTCACGCCTAATTTGAAGGCAACCTAAGCTGACTTGATTACAGATTCCTCACAAAACAACCCCAGAGATACTTGATAAATTAGACATCCTCTTGTGAGAATGGAACATGTGTCTTCTGTATTCTATGAGAGGCAGCCTTACTATACCACAGATGTCCATGGTTCTTTTTAGGAAAAGGATATCAAATTCTAAGATACCCTTTTGTTTTGTCACTATCAAAAACGCAGAAAATATTCAGATCAAATATCTTACAGCTGTAGACAAAGTTGACTGTATTTTGTTCCCTCAGGCAAAACTGTAGTGCAGCCATTTAGTTTGTGTGAGTGTGTGTGTGTGTGTGTGTGTGTGTGTGTGTGCATTTGTGTGTGTGTGTGTGTGTGTGTGTGTGCGTGTGTGTGTGTCTGAGTGTGTACTTTTCAGTTTTATTTCTTTATCTTTCTACCCTTACTTACTTTACAATTGTATTGGTCTCTGAACTCCCAAAATGCTCAACCTGCAGACTCTCAGAGAGACAACATTTTTTGAGTCCTAAGTGTTTTCTTACAAATCGAGTTCTATGGTCTTGTGTTTACAATAGTTTTAGTGCATATTAGCCAAGGGAGATAATCCATATACCACTGTGCCGTCATGTTTTCTAAATTGTTGTGGTCTTCCTTCAACTGCTTTCATGAAATTTTTGTTCCTTGATACAGCAGAAATTTGTTGTCATCGTTGCTAGTAGGAAGTCCGATTTTCTCTCCGCTTAAAGTGGATAGTTAGTTATAGGGTGTTACTGATACATGTTTTTTTTTTTTTTTCTATTGTTCCGTTATCTACTTCTATATTGTATGATTTTGTAAAAAGGGATTGTATGACTTTCCCAGTTTAATTTTTTTACTTTTTTTTTTTTCGCTGTGTTTAAAAAAAAATTAAAAATTCTGAATCAAAATAACTAATAACAACTCTTTTCTCCCCAGGTGGGTGGACGGCTACGCAGTCGCATTGCAGAACAACTCCTGAACGAACTGGAGCCAGACACCCATCGCACGATTGTCCAGCTGGAACAGCTTCAGATAGAGGCAGCTCAGGGCTCACGCAGGGACAAATACTAGACTGCCGGCTCTCCCACTCTTCCTTGTGTCATCAGTGGAGGAGTGTATGGGGTGGAGAACATAGGGGGCAAAGGTCAAAAGACACAGAATGGCATTAGCAGAAAAGTTAAAAACATAATAAATTCAAAGGTCATGGATAGCGTAGGTGTAAAGGTCAGTGGTGAAATGGGTCATAAAGTTGAGGACTTAAGCCAACAAACTCCAACTGAAGTAAGAAACATTGAGGAAGGAAAAATAAAGTTTTCAAACAAACAACGTAGGGTCAGATTTTGTCCAGAGCCTGTTGTTCACAGCAGTTTGTAAACTCTGTGGGAAAGGACATAAAAGAGTCAAAATAAGTAAAGAATGAAAGGAAAAGTTTTTCACTGAGGTTTTTTGTTTTACTTCCTCATTCATATAGATGAGATGCAAGGAAATTGTTTTAGAAGGGAGTTAAAACAAGATGAAGGTAAAATGAAGGAAATTATTCACTTGATGTGACTTTTTGCCATTTGCATTGTTCCTAAAGCGACTTTTTGGGGATTTTTATCTTTCAGGTTATGTCAAGGAGACTACATGTTGCTTCTATCAATCATTTTACAAAGGATATAAAGTGGTATTATAGGTATATTTGTAAAGAAACTGTTCAAATACAGGGTTTTAAATATCATTGTATGTTTATATTAAGGCTTCTTGTCTCAATCCATGTTTAAAACAGCTCATTATCATCAGCATTATCATCCATCGAAATCAGATATATACATTTATGGCATTAGTGTACGCTTTAATGCTGTTCATCTTCAATGTTATTGGATGGGGCAGCAAATCAATTTGTAGGCTTTGCATTTGCTATTTTTGACTCTTTTTTAAAATGTCAATATTTTTATAATCAGTGTATATTTTTTTAGCTTAACGATTCTTTTTATATCTATTAGTTGGGATCAGAAGGTTTTTTTGTGCATATTTCTGAATTTTGTTCCAATGTTTTGTATTTTTTGTCTTGTCATTAAAGTGTTGATCTTGCCTTTGTTATTAGAAGTAATTTCTTCTACAGTTCCGCCAAAAAAAGTTGAATGAAATTAAACCTTTAAAAAATTGTTGTAATAGACTTAGATCTATATATACACAGATATACAGAAAATTTACTTTTTACCATTACTTGTTTTGGTTTTTGTAGTAGTGTTTACCGGAGATAATGTTTCCTTTGATATTGGAATGCTTTTTTCTAGAAAGTCTATCATTGCTTGAAAGAAGTCTTTTCTATAATTATAATATTTATCGTAAATTGATTATTAAATCTTAATGTTCCCTTATGCTAAAATGGTTTAGCTGAGTTGTTTATCTCACTACCATGAATGTGTTTTCTAACAAAAAAATTGTTAAGGATAGAGTATCATGTTGCTAATGAGTAATGTTAATATCTTCCTCTCTATTTCTTTAACAAGTCAATCTTAGTTTAGTTTTAGTAGAGGTTTTACGGCGCTCGCAACTACATAAGGTCATATGAGCGCCAGTAAGTCAATCTTAGAGGAAGGTTGGGTTAGGTAAAGAATAAGTTGGAGAGGGAGAAAGAAGGGAGGGGTCAAAGTAATATAAATTCCTAGGGATTCTGTACTGATAAATGAGATCAAATATCTCAGTTCGTTTTTCAGTGCAGTGCAATGCAGGCTGGTGTGTACTTTCACAAACTGTGATCTGTGTAGTTCCATGAGCCTTAGTCTGTTCAGATAACCTTTTTTTGTTTGTGATAGTCTTCAGATAGATGTTTATTTGCTTCAGTCTTTTTTGTTTGTTTATGTATTTGCCTAGTAGGCTGTGTTATAGCAATGTAGTGAAATGAATAAAGTATGATTCTTTAAAAAATGAGTGGTGGATTTTGATTAATTGAAGGCACTTTTATTTTTTTTTATGCTTCTTCATGGCTTACCCTTGTGGGGTATATATATATATACTATTATTCTGCTGCAGTGGAACTATATTTTGATATGTTGCTTAAATAAATCGTTGTGGTTAAGAATTCTGACCTATTTTACCATGGTTGAGAAGACCCTTGATGTAGGAATTATGGTTCAAAGCTAGTAGGTTTTATGCACCTCGTTCAAGCCCTCTGAATTTGTCCACAACATGGAAGGTGCTATTCATTTGAAAATGGTAATTTCATACCTTATTGTATTGAGTTTTTGTTTTTGTTTACTTCATTCCCTTATGAGAGCAGAGTTCAGTGTGATCCCATGGGCTTGAGATTTAAGAGTTAAACGAACACTAGCTAGGTAAACTATTAATCCAGAGTACATCGCAATAGATTTGCATGAAGTGATTCCAAAGGTAACACAGTAAAAACCTTGCAAATAGATTAATTGGTAGACTTAACACTTGTGGAAAAAAAAAATGATTGCACAGTGAAATGTGCTTTTGAATTTACTCAAAAAGATTGGGTTGGAAATGCATCAGAGTGTATGCTATAAAATGCTCTTTTCTAGTCGGTCAAGAAGCCAAGCATCTGTCCAAAAGAAGTACACTAACTGGTAAGACTCAAACTTAAAACTCTGAATTCTGCTGATTTTAAAGATAGGCCATGTGACACCTGCTAATAAAACATAAATACACGTATATGTGTCACGAAACAGGAATTGGCTTGTCAATTTTTGGGCATGTGGAGTTATTGGTATCAACTTAAAACCTGTTTTTTGTTTTGGTTTTGGGTGAAAAAATCCCCATGTATCTTGAACAGAAGTAAAAATATTTGCTGTTGAAGGAGGTGGAGGTCAGCTAGTTTTGGAGATATATTAGCGAGAAAATAGGTGCCAAAGGTTGGTGGTTTCTATAGCTTGAGAGTCCTTGGAAACTGACAATCTACTTTTTTTTTTTCTTTATTCAACGGTATTAAGAAAAGTCCACACAATAATGCGTTTTTAAATGGATATAAAAGGAGTTGAGCTAAAAAACAAAAATACTATTAAATCCGTCCAAAAAAATGCTGGTTTCTTTGATTTCACTATTTTGACGAGCGCCTGATTTCACCTTGATGCCTCACATATTGTGTCACCTTAAGCTGTGTTACCATTATAATTTGCATGCCTTAGTTGAACTATAGTGGTGAAACAAAATCAATTGGCTATTTTGATTTGCATGCCTTGTTTAAAAAATAGAAATAGGCCAATATCATATGGTTATGATGATTTCCTTGCTTGGGTTAAATTTGATGACAAAAAACAACGTTTGCTCAGCAATTTTCATTTGCATGCCTTCCATACTCTAGAGGATTTTATATTACCATAAATATTGAAATCTTGTGTCTGGGGATAGTTAATTCAGGTGCCTGCATACACTTCACTTAGTTTTGTCCTCTGATTGCTCTGATTAACCATTGGTCACAAAGTAAAATACTGCTGAACAATTTGTGCTTCATGGTTTAGAGAAAGGGATTACATATAGTGTAAAGCGCATAGAGCCTGCTGTTGAGCGGGGATATGCGCTATACAAATGCTATCTATTATTATTATTATTATTACATAATGTCTTCTCTGCCTCTTTCTTTTCTAGAAATATACTCAAAGAAGATTGAAAGCAAAAACATTTCATCAAAGTTACCAGACTTTTACATGTCAGATATGTGAAGGTCTGATGCTTTGTTCTTTATTTTAGGAGGGGGAAGGGGGGGGGGGTCATATTATGAAAGACCACAACATCTTTGTAATCCCTATGGGAAAAAAAATCAATTTTTGATAAAGAATTTTCAGTCTTTTCTTCTTTCGTTGCAGGAAAAAGATGAGGGTTTGTTGTTTCAAGTTTTCATACTTACGATTAACTAGTTGGAATATAAAATTACCTCAACATTGAATGAAAAAATTTGACTTTTTATATACAGGCTATTATCCAAAATCATCCCCCAAAATCTGTTAAATCCTTAGTTTAGTGCATGTTAGAAAAATAGAGATTAGTATTGTGTGATAATAAATATACAAGTCAATGAATAAAGGAAATATATGTCATGTAAATTTTCCTATCCGTGATTTTTAAAAAATGTGTCCAAAATGACTATTAGAACGCAAATGTGTACTGGTACTGTCTGTATTGTGTATGTTCTATGTCTGTCAATCTTTCTTTTTTTGGGGATGTGGCTGTTTACTCCTATAATGAGTTTCTTTATGTTTCTACAATAATTTGGAGTCTGTTTATAATTTTTCCCTCTTAGTTCTGCAATTTTTTGGAATCAAGTGATAGAAAGAGCATGGTGCAGTGTTGAGTGGGAAGTCAGCAGACAAGGAAGTAGAATGACAGAGAGATCAAACGGACAAAGAAGGCAAATATACGCTAGATGGAAATTTTAAAACAAGAGAAATGGATGTAAGATGGATACAGA